AGGAAGGAAACTGGGGACATTGGTGGTGGGAAATCACTGAAGGGATGGGTGTTGGAACATTGTATGACTGAAACCCAATCATGGACAGCTTTGTAATTGTTTATCTCATGGTGATTTTCTTTTTTTAAAGGATGAACAAAAATCTTTAAAAGCAAAAAAAACAAAGCAAAACAAAACCAAAGGGTAGCATTACAGCAGTGTTTCTCAGCAAGGGATCATACAATCTGTAATGCCCACGCCTCTCCCAGCACATTCCAAGGGGTCCACAGGGGGAAATCACATATACAGGGGGATCCACACACAAGAGCAACATGGAATCAACCGGTAGGACAGAGGGACCGCAGGAAGGAAAGAAGGTCTGAAGATTTTATTAACTCAACCACAAGGCAACTTCACAAATGCACAGACAAATCAATATACATGGAATTCAACTCTGAAATTCCTAAAACATACAATCACTGTTTGCGGTACTTACTATTCTGCAGGTTCTTTAACTATATAAGTAGCATATAATTGGCCCGCCAGGAGTAATCCCTGAGCGCAGAGCAAGGAGTAAGCCCTGAGTACTGCCAGGTGTGCAACCCCTGCAATTTTTTTAAAAAAGGTAATTATAGTGAAAATTTATCTTTCAACAATTGGCTTTTGCATGACTCACTCATAGACCCCACTCCCTTTTGTGAGCAATTATATTGTTTCCTATCAGTAACACAAAAACAAAATGAGAACTAAACACTGACCTCAAAAATCAATCTTTTTTTTTCCTGTTAGTTCAACAATCAACTCTTAAAATGTGAAAGTGCTTACACTCTACACAAACTTTGGAAAAAGCCATCCATTCTAGTCCAGGACCAGCTCTGTGTTCTTGTGACCAAATGTTTAATGCCCAACACTGCAGTTATCTGTGTTGTATAGCAAAGACATATAATAAAAATTAGGGCCAGATTCAAAAGAACAAAAGCAACCGATGCTGGTGCGGATGTGGCGGGAAAGGGACCCTCCTTCACTGTTGGTGGGAATGTCGACTGGTTCAGCCCTTCTGGAAAACAGTCTGGACGATTCTCAAAAAATTAGAAATTGAGCTCCCATTTGACCCAGCAATACCACTCCTGGGAATATATTCCAGAGAGGCAAAAAAGTATAGTCGAAGTGACATCTGCACTTGTTTGTTCATTGCAGCACTCTTTACTATAGCCAGAAACTGGAAGAAACCTGAGTGCCCAAGAACAGATGAGATGGTATAGCAGGTAAGGCATTTGACTTGCATGCCACTAATCAGGATTTGAACCATGGCATCCTATGTGGCCCTAGAGTACCACCATCAGTGATTCCTGAGGGCAGAGCCAAGAGGAAGCCCTGAGCATCGCCAGATATGGGTCCCTACCCATCAAAAAAGATAATAAAAATTGAGAACTGAAAGGAAAATAAGGGACTGTAAAAACATTTAGTGTGGAACACCTAATAAATGGTATAGCCACTGTTAACAATATCTCTTTTCAATCAAAATTGTATTATAACTTTAAAAAAGCCAAATAAAGTTTAGTTGAGATTTTGATCGTGTTGTAATCAATAATTGCCATTTCTCAGAAGACCAGACAATCAAAATTCTCACAGACGTCCCTCACTTGGGAGTTCAGCCTCCTAAGGATAAGCCTAGCCATTGTGAATCATGACCCAGACCTGTACAATCAAAAAATAAAGTGAATCACACGCATATTTAGGATTTTCTAATAACCACATGACAAAGGTAAGAGATGGGTCAAAATGAATTTTAAGCAATATATTTTACTGAACCCAATGCAAACAAATTAATTCAATAAGTAAGGAATGTTTAAAAGGAATGCAATAGTTTAGATTACCTTTGCAACACTAAACCCTCAATATCTAGTGTATGTTCTTCATGTATGGCACAGCCTGATCATGACTAGCTGTATTTCAATTGCCCAAAAGTCAAAAATCCAAGTGTTTTTACTGTGTTGATGATACAATTTAGTCAATACCTTTTCAGAAAGATCCCAATTCAGCATTCTTAACAAAGATTTGTTTACCAGTATATATGAACTCTATGATTTTGATTAAAATAGCTGTCAGTGTGAAGACTCACAAAATTGAGTTCTTCCCCACCAAAAGATGTGTTTGTTTGTTTTGTTCTGGGACACACTCAAGGATGCTCAGGGTTGACTCCTTGCTTTGTGCTCAGGGATCACTCCTCCCTAGCAGGCTCTGGTGACAATGGATAGGAAAGTGAACCAAGGGATCAAATCCACGTTGGTCAAGTGCAAAGCAAGTGTCTACTCATGGTACCATCATTTGGGGCCCATATCCCATAATTTTTACCAGAATTAAATTAAACAGTACAGAGATGAAAAGAGTGGGTTATAGTTTTCAAGACACATACTTGAACATTATTTCATTTCAACCTATTTAAAACTCATCCACGTGATCATTTACAGATGGGAAAATAGGACCTGAGGAAATTATCTGGCCAACAATCGCATGGTAAGTGGAACCAATTCCATGTCTCCTAACTCCAAGGGCTGCACTATTGAACACACAGAACAACTGAATAACAAAATGCCACACTTCTAAATATCAAAACATCTTCAATATTTATCTGTCCAATGGCTAAACAGAGAACATTATCCCACTATTATTATTTTTTGTTTAGGGGCTCACACATCACACCCTGAGAAGCTTGGGGGTTCCCCCTTGACAATACTCAGGTGATGCAGGGAATCAAACCCAGGCCTCTTGCATACAAGGCAAACTCTCTAGCCCATTAAGCTATCTCTCTGGTCCTAGTTTATCACTTTTGTTTGTTTTTACAGCCATTGCCATAAATCAAAATACTGACTGGCACTAAATTCCTGTTTTTGCCCCACGCCCTAAAATGTGACATTGGGGGAGAAAAAAAAAAGAGCCAGGGAGGGGCAAAATAGATGGCAGAAGGATTAAGGGGTTTGCCTTGCATGCTGCAGACCCCAGCAGTGAACTCAATTCCCAAGCATAGGGTCCCCCAGCAAAGCAGCAGTAAGCACTGAGCAATATTGGATGTGGCTGAAAAAGAAAAAGTAAAACAAACCCTCTGGGGGCGGGCCAGGTACTAACTACTCTAGCTCTGCCCTCGGCCCTTCTGCCTTGCAGGCATGAGATAGGAAGTTTCAGGCTCTGCCCTTTGTCACACCCGCATGGAAAAATCACATGTGGAATCTCCAGGACTCAGCAACCAGTCACTGAGCTCTGCAAGCGTCTGTGATCTGTCATGATAGCAACAGAAGGAAAGGAAACAGACATTTTTAAAATGCACCCGAATCTGCACATGAACATCCAATTGTGAAAATAATAAAACCACAGCACTGCTCAGGTGGAACAGTTGGTCAACAATTTTAGTCCAAGGTCTTTGGAAATTAAAAGCAATTCTGGCGTCCCCACCAAAAGTTTTCTGTTAAACATTGACAAAGCAAGTAGGTTCACACTGCTTGGTTGTTCGGCTTAAAGCTAATTATTAAGGGCTTTTAAGTAAAAATGCAATTGTTGGGAGTACTGAAGGCTGAACCACTGTCTCAGTTTCAAAGTTCTAAAAGTGAACCCACGGCGGGAAAACAAGCAGGTCTTTATCTTTATTAATGCTGACTGGATGACAAACACCCAAAGTTATTTATTAGTGATGACATCTCTGGTATGGCTGAAAGGGTGTGGGTTTGCTTTTAGTTCCTCTTCTCAAAGTTCTCTCCAACTTTCCTACAATGCATGTAAGTTCACTTTATAGTTAATAAAAATAGCAATAAAGACATGAACTCATTAAGGCATCTTTAAGCATAGAAAAGGGCTTAATACAACTTCTTTTCAGTTTTAAGTAAAACTATTATTCCGATGCCAAACTCCTCTTATGGGACTCCTAATAGAATCTGAATTAGCTAGGGCAAAATCTCTTCAGAACCCAGTTTGCAAATTCTATCCAGAAAATCCCTCCCAGCTCTGATATTAACTTTCTAATTATTTTAAAATTTTAATGATCCTTATAAAGGCTGTGGCCATCTAGAAACACCAAGCTCAGTTTAGCTAGATCGGGCTCTCACTCCACTTATTCTGAAGCTACAAGTGGGTCCCCTTACTTTTCCTCTTTTAAAAAAATTGATTGGCAGTCAAGAGAAAAACTGTGGTCTTTTCATCCTAAGTAATCTCAGAAAGGCATCTAAAAAATACTGGGGTTGGGGGTGCCCGGAGAGACGACAGGGGTCAAGGCCCATTGCACCATCCCGGGGTAAGACCCCTGGCACTGCCAGGAGTGAGCACTGAGATAGGAGTAAATCCGGAGTCCCGACTAATGTGACCCCCAAATTAATGCCGATGAGAATGATTAAAACAAAACAAACCAATAAAAAAAACCTTGTTCTCTCTAGTGCGGCGACTTTGGTGGCTTCTAAAGAACTTAGCGACACAGGCCCGCGCTCTCTGCACGGCCGCAGAGGAACCGGGAAACAACCAGCTGGAATCCCAAGTGACAAGACCCATCTGGGGCGAAGCCGGGGTGCCCAGAGAACCTTTTTTTTTTTAAGGGTGGGGAGGGATTAAGTCGCGTTTAGGGGAGCGGGTGGCAGGGCGCGGCGCGGCTCAGAGGGGCGCGGGGAGCGGGCTGGACCTTCACCGCCGGGGCTGGGGCGCAGGAGCCGCCGCGTCCGCCGGGAATCCGCGTCCACCGCGCGGGGCCAGCGGCGTCCAGGCCGGGCTGCGGGCACCGGGAGCGCCTCGGCCGCCGCCACCCCCGGGGAGGCGAGACCCTCCGCCCCGCTCGGGCCACGGGTGCCAGACGCGGCGGCGATCGGAGGCCGCGGGGGCCCTGGCGACGCGGGGCGGCCTGGGCGCTGGGGTGTGTCCCCCGGCGCGGGTGCGCACCCCACCCCCTGGGCGGGCGGGCCACGTCGCGGGCGGGGCGGCCCCGCGGGCCGGCCTCGGGGTGCGGGAGGGGGGCGGGGTGGGGGGCGGGGGTCCCCCCGCTTTACCTGGTCCCGCGGCGGCGCGGCGGGGAGCCCCGGCGGGCCCGGCGCGGCCCTGGCTCACCTGGGCGGAAGTGAGAGGCCGGGGTGACCGCGCCTCACCTGGCAGGTCCACCCCGAGCGCCGCGGCGACCCTCCCCGCCCGGGGCGGGGCGCCGCGGTGGCGCGCGGGGGGCGGGGGGGTGCGGCCCGGGCCGCGGGGCGGGGCAGGTGAAGTGCCCAGGGCCCCGGGAGGCTCCCGAGGGGGGACCGGCCAAACCCCGCACGCCAAAGGCGCGGACAGGTGGGGCAGGACAGGTGGGAGCACTGGGCGGCGAGCCCGCCGCCAGTGAAAGGCCTCCTCGGTGGTGTCGTCTGTGGGACCCCCCACTGCGTGTCCCTCCCTGTCCTCCCAACCTCTTCCTATCTCCCGGTCGCCACTTGGAATCCTGTGCACCCCTGGCGGGGCTGTGTGGCTTCTTCTCCAGCGGTGAGGACCCGGGAGACGGTTCTACGCAGCGCTTGCCTGGCCCGCGCTCGTTGATAGAGTCAGACACAGAATTCTCCACGACTCGGGGGAGATACTGATGCTGATGCCCATGGGCTGCTGGATTTCTACGTCCACGTTCAAGTGCAGGCCCTGACATCACTACCCAGTTGGACGTTCTCGTGCTCCAGCATCAGACCTGGACTGGGAGCGCAAGCCGTGCGGAAACCGGCGTTAAATTCCCGCCTATCGTTTTGATGGCAGGTGTCATACTTGGTCTGATTCAATCCATCCATAAACTTTTTAGAAGGAAAATCAGGCTTCGGGTGCCTGATTCCTGCAACAAACGCGGCCTTTGTTAAGTCCTGTGAAGTGTTGTAATGTGGAATGCCTGTCTTGAAGGGAAATAAGCCCTATATGCTAATCAACTACAATGTAAGCACATTTGTTGTAAACCCCCCCCCACTTGACATTTTTATGGAAATAGTGTTTGTTAGCTTTTTTGTTGTTGTTTTGGATTATACTCAGGTGCTCAGGAGTTCCTCCTGGATCACTCCTGGTGATGATCAGACACCTGCAATTCGGGGATCAAATCTGAGATTCTATGTGCAAAGCATGTGCTCCGGCCAGTTGCATGATTTCTCTGGCCCCATGTTTGCTTATTTGTTTGTTTGGTTTGGGAGGGAACCCCCAGAAGTGCTCAGGTCTTACTCCTGGCTCTGCTCTCAGGAATCACTCCTGGTGGGTTTGGGAATCATATGGGGTGTCAGGGATTGAACCTGGGTCTGCTGCATGCAAGGCAAATGCCCAAATGCCCTAAACACCTTATATATGCTTCTTTTAAAGGAAATACCAGTTGCATACCTGGTGGAAACTGCAGGCCCAGAAAGATAGCTCGGTGGCTCAGATGCTTTGCAAGGCAGGTGTGTGGTCAAAGTTCCAACCTGGTACCACCACATGCAATCCTGGCAGCTCAGCTGCTCTATGACAAAAGCATATATTCCCTCCTGAGCTTGATGGCCAAGAAATTCCATGGCTGGTGAGTGCCGCAGCGACTCCTGAGGGTACCACAACTAGCAAGGCAGAGCACAACCAACAATGCCCCCACCGGCAGAGGACCCCATGGCGGACTACCACACCTGATGTGCGATGCCTGGCATGCACCATAGCCATTGGGTGTGTGTGATCCCTGGTGAGCATGTTGACAAAAACAGGTTGGGAAAGATAACTCAGCGGAAAGATAACACTGGGGTCCACTACTTGCCTTGCATGCAGCAGACCCCAGTTCAAACCCCTCCCCCCACATGGTATATGGTCTCCTAAGCCCTGCCAGGAGTGATCCCTGAGCTCAGAGCCAGGAGTTAGCTTTGAATACCATTGGATATGGCCTCAAAACCAAAACCAAAACAACCAAACAACAATTTAAAAAAAGAATATCAACAACAACCAAGAGAGGTGAAAAATTATAATAGTATCAGCATAATCTATGCTTTTGAGGAACTAGGAATTATTGAGGGATATAAACTTTTATAATAAATTACTAACTAGAATGACAACAGAATCTTCAGAACATAGAGAGATTCATTATGTCTGTTGAAAGTGTGTCAGAACTTGAACAGGTCCTAACAGGTGTTTGAAGATGGAAACGCTTCTGGAGTCAGGGGGTGGTCTACATTGGAGACTAATGATCTCAAAGTCTTGCCTTGCAAGCAGTGGAACTCTTCTTACTCTGACACTTGACAATGATCATAAATACAGTCCCCTTCTCAAAAAGACTGTCCCTGAATTGACCATGAATTGACCATCCAAGCCCTTTAAGGCTCATTCCTTTTTTTCTGACTCAACCCAATCTCCCACTTCATCCCTTTAAGACCTTCATCCTTTTATGACCTGGCCAAACAGGTTTCCTCTCTGTCCTTGGAATCACCTTGTCTGGTGCTTACTGGCTTCCTGTCCTATCCTGGAATGTTCTAGAAATCCTACCCTATCTCCAGGGTATTCACTCAAGGTTTTCCTCTCAGGGGAAGTTCGTCCCAGATCTCCCCAGTTTCCCCAGCTGACATCCTTCTCCATCATATTTAATGTTTTAACCACATTTTTTGGGTGTGTTGTTAATTTGGTGGGGGGCCACACCCAGTGCTTACAGGCTATTCCCGGCTCTGTGTTTGGGGGGGGGGTCACTCCTAGTACTTGGGGAACCATGCCTTGCCAGGTATCCTTTTCCCTTTTCTTTCCCCTCTCCCTTTCCTTTACCTCTTCTTCCTTTCCCCTCTTTCAGGGTAGTTTGGGCCACACTTGGCAATGTTCAGGATTTACTCCTGGCTCTGCACTGAGAATCACTCCTGGTGGGCTCAGGAACCACACCGAGTGCCAAGGATCAAACCTACATCAGCTGCATGCAAGGAAGGTACCCTACCCACTGTACTATCTCTCCAGACCTCCATCTTGTAATTTTCATCCAGAATCTGAAGTTAGAAATCAGGAATAAGCCCTAAGTCCCACCTTCCGATTAACTCGCCTCCCCACTGCACCCATGCCCCCCACGAAAAAAAAGAAAAGAAATACACCATTTATTCCAGAGTTAAAAAAATTGCACTGTTCCTTTCACTGATTTTTTTTTTTTGGTTCGCCCCTTTTATAGAGGGAATAAGAATGACGATTCAAATGGTAAAAATAGACCTTGTAATGTGATTAATCCACAAAACATAGCATTTTCAAATAGTTAATTGTTCAAAATCTATGTGAAAAATGACAAATACAAAGGTAGAAATATTCCTGAAGCAAGAAAATAGAAAAAATATCTAATTGTTTTATATTTTGGGCCACACTTGGTGGTGCTTGGGGCTTACTCCTGACACTGATCACTCCTGATGGTGCTCAGGGGACCACAGAACTACGGCTGGCTAGTGCAAAGCCAAGAAACTTAACTCATGTAATCTTTCTGGCCCCAGGAAAATTTCTATTTTTTGCCATAATTTCTTTAATCTCAAATCAGATCATTTTGGAAGGGTGCCAAAATAGTAGTCAAAATTGAAACGAACTGTTTTTAACACGAGAATTTGTGAGATATTCTGTATTTTCTCCCTGGGTTATATCAAATTCCTGATCTCTATCCCCTTCCTATATTTTACCAAAAGATGAGGCTATGGGAAGGTATTGAAGTCTGTATGAAACACAGTAGTGGTCTTCTAAAAAAACAAAGGCAACCTTTATTTTTAAAGGTTGCATATCTTTAGGTGATCATGAATCCTATTAAGGCGCAGCTCTGAAACGTATGTCTGGAGGTGACAGAATATAATGTTCCAAGTATTATTGGGGGAATATTTTCTTGCTGATCTGAGAGGATATACACGGTATCAGAGATCAAACTGGACCAGGCAAACACCTTAATTCCTGTATTATCTCTCTGGCCCTGTTGGGAGAATATCTGAATCAAGACACTTATCCTATTAAAGTACAGGCATCTATAGTAACAATTAACAAATCACATTTTAACTCTTTTAAAAGTTAAAATGTGCACTTTCTGTTTTTTATTTCTGTATTTTATTTTTGTTTGAGTCTCTGGGGGCTTTCCTCATGCTGGCTACATAGTATATACTTCAGGAATGACAGAGAGAAAGATTGTTTTAAAAGGAGAAATGAAAGGAAGAAAATAGGAAGGAAAAAAGGGTAATAGAAATGAATTAAAGAAAGAATTCCACCTAAAACTTAATTTAAAATTTAATTTTGGGAGAGACAGTAGAGCAAGTTGGATGTTTGCCTTGCACGTGGCCACCCCAGTTTGATACCCAGCATTTAAAATAATCCCCTGAGCACTGCCAGGAGTAATTCCTGAGTACAAAGCCAGGAGTTATCCCTGAGCATCTCCAAACCAAATTTAATTTTGTAATGTTTAGGTTAAAAAAATGGGACTAGATAAATTTCATTTTTATGAATACTTAAACAAACAGAAAGCATAACTTTAATTTTAAAAAGTGTGCTTTCTTCCTTTGCAACTTGTAGATTAAGTGCTGCAAAATTGGTTTTGAATTTTTTAAATTTTTTAAATGGAGTGATAGCACATCAGGTAGGGCGTTTGCCTTGCATGAGGCTGACCCGGGTTCGATTCCTCTGCCCCTCTCGGAGAGCCTGGCAAGCTATAGAGAGTACCTCGCCCACATGGCAAAGCCTGGCAAGCTCCTCGTGTCATATTCAATATGCCAAGAACAGTAACAACAAGTCTCACAATTTGTTGTGACATGTTACTGGTGCCCGCTGGAGCAAATTGATGAACAACAGGAGGACAGTGCTACAGTGCTACATATAACGATGAATACTACAGACAATAGTTTCACTTCCTCCTACCCCAAAATGACACTTCTCATAAAGGTAAAGGTAAAGGCCCTCCCATTGATCGTTGATTTGCTCGAGCGGGCCCAGTAACGCCTCCATTGGAGACTTTGTTGTTACTGTGTTTGGCATATCGAATACATCACGGGTGGCTTGCCAGGCTCTGCCGCACGGGCAAGATACTCTCGGTAGCTTGCAGAGCTCTCCGAGAGGGGCGGAGGAATCGAACTCGGGTCGGCCATCTTGGCCGCTTGTAAGGCGAACGCCCTACCCCTGTGCTATCGCTCCAGCCCCATGTCTACGGCCATACCACCCTGAACGTGCCTGACACTTCTCATAATACATCA